TTGTTTGTATTCTTTGGCCCATAGTAGGTATTTGGCAGGATGATTCATGGTCTGGACTAGCAGTGGCCATCAGACTCTTTCTCTTTCCTCTTTAGATCTTTAATCTCATGAAGTACGACAGTTACAGCCGCTTCTTAAAGTCTGATTTGTTTTTGAAACATAAGCGAACCGAGGAAGAGGAGGAAGAGCCACCTGATGCTCAAACCGCAGCTAAACGAGCGTCCAGAATTTACAACACATGAGTCTCCAAGAACCAGGACGTTCACCTTCGCCCTCACAGAGCAGAGGGATGGACACTTGGGACTGTGCAGGATTGTCATTGCTTTATGTGTGAAGACGCAAGTGTGCAAGACCTTCCCACAGAATATGTGTATTTTATGTGTATTTTCCCACAGAATATGTGTAACTGCTTGTCTAGTAAATTTTGCATGATAGCTAATCTTACATTTTAAAAAGTAGCTTTGAAGTTTCAGTTCACAAAAATTGAGATCCCTTCAACACTGGATACTTGGAGCATTTTAATCTTTATTAAACTTCATGTGAGGTCGCAAGGTGAAACGTCTACTCACCTCTACTTTGTAAGTCTTTGCCCTGCCTTTCTGGCCTGGGCTGTGCATGTTCACAGAGTCTCTTGGCCAATTAACTGAAGCGTGAGTTGGTCTGAAAAACCCACCTATGGTGGGTATTGTTTGCCAAATGCTTTTGGGTTAAATAGTTCTTGAGAGAAGTTCATGTGTTGACAAAAGGAAACTGACAACTGTTAAAGACTTGGAGAGTTGAGTTGACACCATCATCAAAGGGTCATTTCTTGGGTGGGGGGTTCTGATCCCTTAATCCATGATATTTCACACAACAGAGATTCATAGTTCATCTCTGCAGAAGCCAGTCTCAACCAAGAGGGAAAAGACAAATGGGGAACTGTTCAGGGTGATGACTGCACCAGGCGGAGTTGAGTGGGACCATTGCACAAGGCATGCAAGCACTTCACAAGGTATGAAGATGGGGTGGTGGCAATGTCCCCTCCTCCCTTAACTCACCTGTCCCCTCTGCTCCCGCCTTCACTGCACTTGTTAACTCTGGTTTGGGACTCCAGCAAGGGGAAAGAAATGCTGTTTCCAGGCCTACTCTGCCTTGGTAGAGAGGTTGTGAATGGAGCCAGCAAGGCTCAGTGGTCCCAGACAGGCTAGATCACACCTCCTTTACAGCACAGCCAATCAGGACCCCAGGTCAGGCTCAGCTCCCTCAGCTAGTGCCCACACCACCTTCAGGGCTTGGTACTGCTGCCAGACCTCCTCCAGGTTTGCCAGCTCCTACCTGTGCACATAGCAACAAGCCCTGTTACTTCTGGACTTTCTGTTACTTGGGGGCCGCCCAACTCAGGCTCTCCCATTTGCAAAATTGCCTGATTTGAGATGATTGTGTGACTTATCACTCAAACTAGGACACTTGAGAGACAAGGGGAGGTACATTTTAAAAGTCTAGTGGGGTGATGTATCTGGTAAGCCATAAACACAGACACCCTGCCAACCGCCCTCTGGTGAATTTCTTCTGCCTGGACTCCTTTGGCTCCTTTGCTTCCTGTTGCGTCCCCTTGGTCCTAGTAGAGGGGTGGTCTTTGGGGAGCTATTCTTTGCTGAAGATGGAAGAACCATCTGTGGGCAGCCACAAACTCAGGCTGTTCTCCACCCTCCTCAGCATCTGTCTTCTCTCTGTTTCTGGAACCTGGGACTAAGACAGTGATGCTGAGAACGATAGCCAAGGGCCCTGTCACCACAGCCATATAGTCACTGCACAGTAGAGTGGACCGGTGTGTTTTAAAAAGTAAAGGCTAACAACGTAGGTTCACCAGCTCCACCTTTTCTTGGTTGGTCAGAGGTATGCAGGGATGCAGATGAGGCCTTCTGCATCATAGGATGCAGGGTGCCTGGCCAGCACCCTTCAAAGAGCCCATTGTAGGCAGAGACCAGGGTGGCTGGAAGTCTCCCTCTGACTTTATCCCTTTCACTACTGGATTCAGAGACGATTTTAGATTGACACTAAATGGAATAAAGGAAACAGCCAGATATAGCCAGGTGGTTATCTATCTGAAGAAAAGCACCCTCCATCCTTCCCTCCCTCCCTTACTCCTTCCTGACCAGCTGCATTTGCACCAATTGAAAAACTTATCTATTTGTAGAATTTGGTGCCCTGAAGCAATCGCAAGAGTGAAACTGAAACGTAGGGAATCCATGCAGCCAATGAAATGCTTCTATTCAGTCCTGCACTTTCATCCTTATGTCTGTCCCTCCGTCCAGCCACTCATTATCTATCCATCCACTCATCACCATACATCCATACATCCATCCATTATCTCCATTCATTCATGCATTCATCTACCCATCATCCATCCACCCATTATTCATCCATCCATCCGTCCATCCATTCATTCATCCATCCATCCATCCATCACCATTCATTCTTGCATTCATCTACCCATTCTCCATCTGTCCATCATCCATCCATTCATTCATCCATCCATCCATCCATCGTCCATCCATCACCATTCATTCTTGCATTCATCTACCCATTCTCCATCCGTCCATCATCCATCCATTCATTCACCCATCCATTCATCCATCCACCCATCCATTCATCCATCATCTATCTCCATTCATTCATGTATCCATCCACCTGTCATCCATCCATCCTTTGGTCTTCCATCCATCCACCCACCCACCTACTATCTAGTTATCCACTCATCACCCATCCATCCATTGACTGGTATTTAAATTTGGTCTCTAGTGTGCTAGAGACTGTTAGATACCAGGATTCAAGGGGGAACAAAGAGATGTAGTTTTATTAAGGTTCACTGAGGCCAACAGGTCAGAAGACAATTGCCATTGAAGAGAGAGTTGGTTGCACACAGTTTCTAAAAGAAAGGGACACACTGTCATTCAAGGTCATGTGGGGCTGCACCAGGGTGCTGTCAGGAGGCAGAAAGTCTTTGTTATGATTTCCTGGAGCCAGCTTGTTTGGAATTGGTCAGGCTGCTTAATTTCACTGGGCTCCTGGATATGAGTGTCCCCAATTGTCTGGTACCCTGGTATCTGGCCATGAGATAATGAAGGCAGGCAGACAGTGACAGTGTATGAGAGTCTGATAGAGGTAATATGATTTACATTTATTTATTTATTAAAAATGAGTGCTCTGCCTTTTTGAGACAAGGTCTCCCTGTAGCCCCAGCTGACCTGGAGCTCACTATATAGACCAGGTTGGCCTGGATCCCATAGGGATCCTCCTGCCTCTGCCTCTCCAGTGCTGGGATTAAAGGCACGCGCCACCACGCCTGACATGGTACGGTATATTTTGTATGCTCTGAATTGGCTGCTTTGCTTGTGAAGGACACAGCCCAGGTGCTTACAGTCTAGGAATTGGCATGCCCTGGAAGGGGCGGCCTTTCTGGTGTCAGCAAGGCCCCAGATGTCACAGCAGCAGAATAAAAAGATGTGCTTAAAACAACAATCTCCAGAGGCCTCAGCACTCAGCCTGCAGGCCATGGGTTTCTTTTGCTGTCTTTGTTGGGACATCTGTTTAAAATCTGTCCATGTGGATGCCTGAGGCAGAGCATGGCATCATCTCCTGTTGCCCACAGGCTTCTCTATTCCCTGTTGCCTTGTTGGAAGTTACTCAGATGCCCATGCTATCTGCTCACCCTTAGTATGTACCCTCATCTCCATTTCTCACGTGCAGAGCACACCTGGGGGACCTTTTATCTGTGACTTTTCAGTCACTCATTTTCTGTCTCCATCCCCTCCATTGCTCCACTCAGCTTTCTTGCATTGCTCTGCCTTTTTTTTAATTTAAAAATTATATTTATTTAATTTTAAATTATTTCACTAATTTATTTGTGTGTGCACACACACACATGTACCACAGCACACATGTAGAAGTCAGAGGAAAATTTATTATTCATTCATTCATTTATTTATTATTTATTTATTTATGTGTGTGAGTGTCCTGCCTGCATGTATGTAAGTGCAACCATGTTGTACAGTTCCAGTAGAGATCATAAGAGGGCATCAGATCCTGGAACCGGAGTTATGGGTGGTTGTTAGCCACCGTGTGTGTGCTGGGAATTGAACCTGTGTCCTCTGCGAGAGCAGCCAAGGCTCACACCCACTGAACCACCTCTCCAGTCCTCATCTTTCCTTCATTACAGACTCTGCACCTCTAAAGGTGATGGGAACCACTACACACCAGAAAACCATCTTGCAGGTGCTTCCTTTTCTTACCCTCCTACACAGAGAGATTTGAGATGAGGACACCAGATTGCGTGGCATGACTTAACTTGTGAGAGGGAGAATCTGAGGTTGAAGCTAAGCCTGCCTTCTGACCCACCTTCCTTTTGGTATATCCCTTCACTGGACAGAACCTTGCAAAGCCCAGTCCCAGGCGAACACTGGCCTTGTGACAGGCAACTAGGCGATTACGTGTGGCTTTTCCCTATAAGAAAGTGATCATCCCTGGAGGGGGACTGATTGGACATGCCTAGCTAGTTGTGTTCCTCTGAAGTCACCAGTTGGGTTGATTTGCCTTCCTCCTACATATCAGGATGGTTGACATGGGAGGATGAGGCTCTGTGAGCCAGCACTCTGTTCTAGGGGTGAACTTTTCATTTCAGCCTCAGATTGAGGAAGAGCCAGTGACTGAGCTAACCTTCCCTGTATGGCCCTGCCAGTGGGGATATACATGCTATCATGTGTCACAGATTTGGGGGCTGATTAATTGATAGCCAACTCTCAGACCCCAGCTCTCACTTGGGGAGAACATGGTTTTTAAGCTTTGTAAACTATTAGGTGAATGCAGCCATGATTCCCATGTCACTGCTCTTTACTTTCATTTTGGCTACTGATGTTCTAGAACTTACATTTAAGTGTTCCACGGTCTTGTACCATTAGCTTCTAAGGATTTTCTTTTTAATTGCCTTTCTTCCCAGGGTTAGTTTGGCACAAGGCAGGAATGCTGTAGATAGCCCACTGGCTAGCCAGGGCAAGAAGAAACTGTGCTGAGGAAATTGATCCCCAAACCTTGGGCAGATGCCAAGGCTCTCCTGGGGCTCCCACAGGCACTGCAAGTCCAAGGTCACTCAGGCAGAAAAAAAAAGTCCCTTTTGTCAGAACCTCGGGGTGAAGGTCTCACAGGTAGTGGCTGTGCTTAGGTGCTGGGTGCTGAGCTGGAGGGATGGCCCAATGGTACAGCTACCTGAAGAAAGGTAATCTTTTTCCAATTCCCACAAAGCCACCAGGTGGAGGCAGCCAGAAGTTCCAAGTATCTCCTCTTTTCCATACGACAACATGTACCACACCACTGAGTTGTCTAGATTTGTGTGTGTGTGTGTGTGTGTGTGTGTGTTCATCTGTGCATGCATGTGTAGAAGGCTGTGTGTGGGTGTGTGTATGGGCCAAAATTCAACTCTGCCTCAATTGCTCTCCAACTCATCATTATTGTTATTATTAGAGACGAGACAAGGTCTCTCACTGAACCTGGAGCTTGTCATTTTGGCTAGACTGCCTG